GGTGAGTAATCCTTGCTCACCCTACCCTCGTCCCTCGGGATGGGGTGCAGATTGGAAGGGGTACGAGCATATCCGTATCTCAATCCCCTTCGCCTATAACTTCTGCCCCCACCACCATACCTCCCTCGCCCCTCCACGGTAGCAATCCCAAGCCTCATACAAGCCTCCATTTACAAAATAGAAAAACAAAACAAACCAAAAACAATTATACCTAAACAAAACCAATCCCCACCCCAAACCACAATAAAACGGAACAAAATAAAAATACATTGATAAAAACCACTGTTCACGGTGGTACAACAAAGTAAAAAGTAAAAACACCTTTAAAACACTTTAAAATATATAAAAACATTTTTAACATTTGCTGCAGCAGCACCAGTGTCCTTAAAAGTGTAGAGGAGGTGAGTCTGGGCCCAGCCCCCCAGGCCGGGCAGAACTAGCCTAAGGAGGGAGCGGCCTTCCCCAACACTCACAGTGCAGCAGCAGCGATGTCCCAGTGCCTCAACGAGGCCTCTTAAAGCTGTGGCGAAGGTGAGTTTGGGCCCCGCCCCCTAGGCCTGGTGGAATCAGCCTGAAGAGGGAGCGGCCTTCCCCAACACTCACGGTGCAGCAGCAGCGATGTCCCAGTGCCTCAACGAGGCCTCTTAAAGCTGTGGCGAAGGTGAGTCTGGGCCCCGCCCCCTAGGCCTGGTGGAATTAGCCTGAGGAGGGAGCGGCCTTCCCCAACACTCACAGTGCAACAGCAGCGATGTCCCAGTGCCTAAACAGCAAAGTTAAACAGCAAAGTTAAAAGAAACAAAGTTGAACACCTATGCCAAAGAAATAAATGGGATATAATCTGTCTACAAGAGACACATGTTACAAGAAACCACAGAAGGGTGTTAATTAATAGAAAATTAAGTGAAGAATTTATATCCTCAGATGTAGTTTAAAAAAGAGGGGTTATTATTTACGCAAATCCCAAACTAAATCCAGAATTTGTATTTAAAGATGAAAAAGGGAGGATGATAGCAATCAGGATTAAAACCCAACAAGGAAAGATATTAATGGTAGGAATATATGCACTAAATAATAAGAAAGCTGAATTTTATTTTATTTTTAAATGGAACATAAATTGCTAGATCATAGTGATGAAAAACTAATAATCATGGGTGTCCTAAGCGGAGTTATATCAACAGAAATGGACAGAACAACACGGGAGAAAGGAAGGAAGGAAGGGAAATTACCAATAAGCTTCATGAATCTAATAGAAAACTTAGACCTACATGATGCATGGAGATTTAAACATTTAAGTGAGAAGCAATACACATACCACTCCGAAGCCAAAAACTCCTCGGGAGGAATAGATGCAATATGGATTTCAAAAATATTATTAACTAAAATTAAGAAAGCAGAAATACAAGTAAAAACAATATCCAACCACAATCCAACGACATTAGAAATAAAGGGAGAAGAGAGGAAAATTAGAAGATGGAGAATAAATGAAGCAATTCTGAACGATAACAAAATTCTAGAAAAGGCCAAATCAACATTAAAAGAATATTTCGATAATAACTTAAATAAAGAGACAGATATAAATATAGTATGGGATGCTAGTAAGGCCGTAATAAGAGGCTTTTTCATTTAGCAAAATATAATCTTAAAGAAAGAAGGGGGGGGGACTTAGAGAAACCTTTAAGGGAAATAAGTGGAAATGAGAAAGATTTGGTCAAGAAACGAAGCACCAAAAAACAACATCAAGACACTGCAGACACAACTCTCTCTGATCCTGAATTACAAAGTGGAACAAAAAATCAAGAGGATAAGACAAAATTCTTTTGAATCTGCCAATAAGCCAGGTAGACTGCTAGCATGGAAGCTGAAGAAGAGACAGAAGGAAAGAATAATAGAAAAAATAATGGAGGACAGGAAAATAATAGAAGACCCGAAGGAAATCAAAACAAAATTTATAAAGTACTATAGTAACTTATATAAAGAAATGTAAGGGAATCAGGAGGATATGGAAAAATACCTAATAGAGAATAAAATCCAGACAAGAGGAGCAGAGAAAAGAGAACAATTAAATCAGCCAACTGCAGCAATGGAGGTGCACCAAGCAATTACGAAAGCAAAAGTAGGAAAAGCACCTGGAACAGCTGATTTGACAGCAGCATATTACAAAAAATTAGAGGAAATCTTAATAACACCAATGAAATTGGTAATGAACAGAATTTTAAAATGTGGAATAATACCAGGATCATGGGAAGAAGCTTTTGTCGTGTTGATACCAAAACAAGGGCAAGACCTGACGCTAATTAAAAACTATAGGCCCATATCACTGCTGAACAGTGATTACAAAATATTTGCTGACATTCTAGCCAACAGATTGAAAAAAATACATAAAGATCAAGCTGGATTCCTGCCAGGTAGATGCGAACACAGCAACATGAGGAATGTAATAGATTTACTAGAATACCTAGAAGAGAGATCAGGCAAAAAAGCTGCTTTAATATCAATAGATACGGAAAACACATTCGACCAGGTGTCATGGGACTTCATGAAAAGGGTCATAAAGGAAATGAAACTGGGGGGAGATTATATTAAAGCTATAGAGGCAATATATAGGAAGCAAAAAGCCAAACTTATCCTTTATAATGAAATAACAGAAGGATTTAATATAGAGAGGGGGACAAGGTAAGGTTGCCCCTTGTCACCACTACTGTTTATTATGCTATTGGAATTATTGATGAATGCCATAAGAAATGATTTTAAAATAAAGTGTATCTCATTAGGGAAAAAGGAATATAATATCAAAGCATTTGTGGATGACCTGATTCTGACTGTTGAAAACCCCCAAGAAAGCATACTACAGATAATTGAAAGAATATTAGAATTTGGGAAAGTAGCCGGCTTCAAGTTAAACAAGAATAAAACCAACATGATAGTAAAAAATATAACCAAGCAAGAAAAGGAAGAACTACAGGAGATATCAGGATTAACAATAGTAAATAAGACCAAGTATTTCAGAATTTGGCTGACAAATAATAATAGTAATCTATTCAAAGATAACACTGGTCAACAACAAATTTGTTGTCTGCGTTTTTTCAGTTGATTTAGGACGAATCTGATGCACTGAATCCAAAAATCACATTGGTTTTGCTCAACCAGGTCAAGTTTTTGAGCTATGGCCACATGTTGTTTTTTTACGTTTTTGTTCACATGTACGCTTGTGTGGAGCATTTTAGAAGAAGTTGGTGGGGGTAAAATGCCATGTCGAATAATTGTTTTGATTGGAAATGATTATTTTAATGGCAAGAAGTACTCAGGTCCGATAGTTCTGGGTGATTATGTCGAAAAGGGATCAGTTTGAAGTCATAAAACCTCGAAATCTTCCATAAATTGGTGCGGCAAAGCATAAAGTTGGGGGATCAAAACTAAGTTAATGGGCCAGCCGCCCCACGAAGTGTATAGAAAACTCCACCCGCGCATGCGCCAGCTTATGACTAATTTGTACCTATTTTTGTTTTGCAGTTGAATGAGATGACTTCGGCCAGAAGATCGTGCAGAAATAAGCCCAACGTGTTCTGCTACATATGTGGAGAATACACCATTGCTCCTAATAGGAAGCCAGTCACAAGTTTCATAAGGCGTGCTTACCATGCTTGTTTTGGTATTAAACTTGGTGACCAGGATAAAGCTTGGGCGCCACACATGGTGTGCAAGGCATGCACCGAGACTCTACGTGGTTGGACCAATGGCAAGAGGAGTCTGAACTTTGGAATTCCCATGGTTTGGAGGGAGCCGACAGATAGATTAGATATCAACTGATATATTTCATTCAAGTTCATTTAAAATGAGCATTCGTGAATTAATTATTATACAGTGGTACCTCGGGTTAAAGACGCTTCAGGTTACAGACGCTTCAGGTTACAGACGCTTCAGGCTACAGACTCCGCTAACCCAGAACTAGTACCTTGGGTTAAGAACTTTGCTTCAGGATGAGAACAGAAATCGCACGGCGGCAGCAGCAGGAGGCCCCATTAGCTAAAGTGGTACCTCATGTTAAGAACAGTTTCAGGTTAAGAATGGACCTCCAGAACGAATGAAGTTCTTAACCCGAGGTACCACTGTATATGGTTAATGATTATAATGGTGGTGTTGTATCCCCACAATTATATATTCTTTTCTGATGGGCTGATAATGATTGCTTGTCACACCACTCCCCCTTTTCTTTTGATCATCCTAAGTGGACATGATGTTGTCTTGGGTTCTTGTTGAGATGTGTCATCAGTGGGATTAAAGAAGGCGCTTGATCCAGTCTGCTGATTCCGGATTTGCTTTGACCCAGAACCCTCCTGATTCCAATATGACTCCAAAGAATCAGATCCTGCTTCTTGCAATCTGTGTCCCGCTCCTCCTCAAACCTGGAGGAAAGATTGACTGACGAGGGAAGAGGGAAGGATTTTCACTCGAGTGTAACCTGCAGAAAGCAAACCTTGTGCAATTCCTTGGCTTGGCTTGGCTGGCAATGGATCGACATGTCAAAAAAATAGATGAGAGTGGCCCAATCGCCTTCTAAATCCAGCCCGTGGACGGTCCAGGAATCAGCGTGTTTTTACATGAGTAGAATGTGCATTTTTATTTAAAATGCATCTCTGGGTTATTTGCGTGGCATAGGAATTTGTTCATATTTTTTTCCAAAATACAGTCCTGCCCCCCACAAGGTTTGAGGGACAGTGGGCTGGCCCCAAGCTGAAAAAGTTTGCTCACCCCTGCTATAACTAATTGAAATTAATTTAAAAATAGGATTCATAGTTAATTATATACACGTAAATGCACTTATAATTGTGGGGTTGTATCTATTACAGCTTCTTATTTTGTCCACAAGTGGGCTGACAGGACCACACTGCAGTCTCTTTGATCCTCTTCAGGGGACATGATGTTCTCTTGGATTCTTTTTGCGATGTCTCTTCATGGGGATAAAAGGAAGCCTCTTCTCCAGTTTACTGAAAGCCAGTGTGACTTGAGCTGTGCTGTGACCACAGAACCCTCTCGATTCCAAGATGGCCCCGAAGAATCAGATCCTGCTCCTTGCAATCTCTGCCTTTCTCCCCCTCACATCTGGAGGTAAGGTCCATTGACAAGGGATCGGAGAAGGGTTTTCACTCGAGTGTAACATGCAGAAAACAACCTTTAGTGGCAGTTGGACTTGGCTGGCAATGGATCTACATGTCAAAATAGATAAGAGCAGTTCTTTTTCTTTCTTTCTTTTTAAAGGAAGGGGCAATTTTGATGTGTTCTAACATAAAAAGAAAATCCAAATATCTTCTTACTATGTTTATGAGGGTTTAAAAAAAAGCCAGGCTGCCTCCCCAGCCTCCATGGCTCAGGGTTCTGGATGCCTGGATTTCATATTGCAGTGGTGGATTTCAGGAGATCAGACAAGGAAACACCAGGCTACATAAGGAAGAGTGAAGGTGATCTTAGGGCACATTATCAATTAGAATAAACATGTGGGGTCTTTAAGGGAATGCTGCAGTGTAGAGCACTCCTGCTCAATGCTTCTGACAGCCAGCCACATGCTCCTCCAAAATACTTCCCTTGCCCCTCTTCCTCCACTCCCCACCTAGTTAGTATTCTGCAACCACTGGACATACGTGTTCCTCATGGGGCTGGAACCCCACCACAATTAATCTCTCCCTATAAAAGGTAAAGGGACCCCTGACCATTAGGTCCAGTCGTGACCGACCTTGGGGTTGCGGCGCTCATCTCGCTTTTATTGGCCGAGGAAGCCGGAGTACACCTTCCGGGTCATGTGGCCAGCATGACTAAGCTGCTTCTGGCGAACTAGAGCAGCTCATGGAAACGCCCTTTACCTTCCTGCCAGAGCGGTACCTATTTATCTACTTGCACTTTGATATGCTTTCGAACTGCTAGGCTGGCAGGAGCAGGGACCGAGCAACGGGAACTCACCCTGTCGCGGGGATTCAAACCGCCGACCTTCTGATCGGCAAGTCCTAGGCTCTGTGGTTTAACCCACAGCACCACCCGCGTCCCAGTCTCTCCCCATACTTCTCTTGTATTTATCCCTCTCTTCACATGATTATGTGACCCCCTCCTGTACTTTGGGTGGTTCCTCATGCCTCGTTGTCAATGGTGCTGTTTTGGATGCTTAAAAACATTTATTCTGAAACATTGGAAATAGGGGGGATGACACAACATACATATCATTGTGAAGCTACAGAACTCAATCATAAATGTGGGGCAGAGGAAGCAGTCATAATAAATTATTGAATCATAGAATTGGGAGGGACCCTGAGGATCATCTAGTCCAATCCCCTGCAATGGAGGACTATGTAGCTGTCTCATTTTGGTATCGAACCTGTGACCTTGACCTTATCAGCACCATGTTTGAACCAACTGTGCTATCTGTAGGCTGATGGTTCTTCAAATTCGTCACCAAATAGCCCAAACAGTAAAAAGTTGTGCTGTGAGAAAATTATTGCACAGAATGCACAATTCAGTGTGAGTTTGAGCAGTAGTTTGGAATGTGCTTAATTGTGAAAAATTGTCTTTTGGAGCAGATCCTTTGCTATGTCGGGACTGCACAGTGACTGAAGAAGGATGTATTGGAGTTGAAGGCTCTGACCGGATTTGCATAGCTGACCCTGAACTGGAAAGCTGCAATATAGTCAATGCCTATGAAGGTAAGAAACCTCACCCTCATTCTTTAGATTCACTGTTCTCTGTGTTCATGCCTGATCTGTGTTGAGGACAAAGAAACTGGAATGTGTTATACTCTGGATAGTTAATATGACTAAAGTGGCTCACTGCATCTTTTCCTCTTCTTTTTCTGGCTCATTTTAGAGGGGAAACTAATCTGGACAAAGGTTGGCTGTGGGCCAAAAGAAGCATGTGATACCAAACAGCAGGTGACCAAACATATCCATGTTGAGTACAAATGTTGCGAAGAGTCAAAGTCTTCAATAGGCATTGATTTCTGCAATGACGGGTTATAAATGAGGTAAAACTAGCCAATGGAAGATTTCCAACATAGCTAAACATGTTAGCCACGTCCTCTTATTTTGGCATCACAACAGAGGACCCACAGAAGCAGTTAGCACTTTTCATATATGTATGTAATTAAAGTTGAAAAATTGTAGAATATAGCATACAGATGAATTGAGTTTCCAACAGTCATTTACATGGATCAACACGTGTTTCATAAAGTATGCATTTAATGTTCTTATGTTCTTTAAAGTCAATATGATGTTCTTTTGTCACAAAATATTATTCTGTGCCATAAAAGGGAGCCCAACTAGTAAGAGAGCTCCTGGAATTCACATTCCAAAATAAAAATAGCCCAAGAGAAAGCCAATTTTTCATTGACATCTTTATTTTGGACTAAGCTGTGAAGAGTGAAGGCTGGTCTTATTAATGTCAGAAGATCCCTACTGGATCAGAAAGAAAATGAATATCTAGTTCAGTATTCTGTTTCCCATTGTGGCCAAGCAGATGCCTCTGGGAGCATAACATGGAGGCAGTCGCTGCCTCCCACTGTTGATCATTAGCAACTGATAACATGAGCTAATCTGTCCCAGGCCATGGAAATACTATATCATCATCATCATCATCATCATTTTTATTCGACCGTCAGTCAGAAAAAAGTACATTTTATCAATACACAGTTAAAACATCCAGGAAGATTTTAAAACTTAGCCAACACTAAAATGGGCTAAACAGATAGCCCCATATCAATACAGTCAATTATAGTCTTGCGACGCTTAAAAGCTAAAAAGAGAAATTTGGCCACCAAGGAAGGTATAGCTCTAGTGGTGTTATTCAGCAAGTGTAAAACCTGGTTTTCTCTGGGTAGGAAGCTGAATTGACATAGGAGAGGGTCTATAAAATTTTGTCTAAGCTCTGCATAAGAAGGGCAAGTCAAAAGAATATGTTCAGTGGACTCAACCACACCCATGGCACAATGACAGGTTCTCTGGGCGTATGGTACCCCCCTGTACCTTCCCCACAATATTGCAGAGTCAAGGACATTTAATCTAGCCGCTGTAAGAAGTCTACGGTATTCCACATAATGGATTTCTGCAAGGTAGGGGGCTGGTATGGTCTGATAAATCTGGTCCCCTAGGAACGTCCCTGGTCTTACCTGGGCTATGTCCTCTTGTCTGGCAATGTCACTCAGTCTCCGGGAGATCACAGCTCTAGCTTGATTGTACGTCATAGACTCAAAGTAGAGATGAGACAATCCGCAGGATTAAACCTCATTAATGACCTCCCTTTCCCACGATGATTGGAAATCGTCCCTCAATATCGAGGGGGCAATACCCACTGGTTTAAAACAAAGCTTGAGCCATAGCCAGAGCTTCGTCTTCAAGGCCACATACCGTAGGGCTTGCCAGCCGACCTCTAATCTCATAACCGCACCTGCTACCGAGGGGGGAATCCTAAGGATGGCTCTAAGGAATCTCGTTTTGATAGAATCCAGTTTCAAAAAATCCCTACGGGAGCCTAAAGAGATGCCCACCAAAAGAAGGGGGAGGACTTTCATTTGAAAGAGTCTCAAAGCTATCTTCACTGATTGAGCCTGATTCTTGGCATATAGAGATCTAATCTGGATGGCTGCTTTAGATGCGTTAGTTGTTATATAGTCTCTATGGGCCAGAAAAGACCTATTTGACCGTATTACTTGTCCCAGATATTTAAAGCAGTTAACCTGCTCTAGGGGGGTCCCGTTCATCGACCATCGATGGAGTCTCGGTCGGGCAGAGAAGACCATGATCTTGGTCTTAGCATAGTTGGGTTGGAGCTCATGCTGATCACAGTATTCATGTAAAGCTTGCAACATTCTCCTCAGTCCAATAGGGGATCTGGCAAGAAGTGCGGCGGCGTCCGCATACAGAAGAACGTTCAGAGGTCGGCCTGCTAATTTGGGGGGGTGGAAAGCATCATTGGCCATGTGAGTCACCAGTGAGTTAATGTAAAAATTAAACAATGCTGGGGCCAATAGACAACCCTGTCTTACCCCTCTGGTGGTGGTAACAGGGTTGGAGACTAGGCCTTTATTGTCTAGCCTGATTCTCAGAAAGGTGTTTGTATGGAGGCTGATAATCAGATGAAGGAGACGACGATAGATCTTTGTAGATATAGATATAGACATCTGCCTTGGTCTGTCCACCCCTGGAATACTGCCACCAATTCTGGGCACCACAATTGAAGGTTGTTGACAAGCTGAGACATGTGTAGAGGAGGGCAACCAAGGTGATAAAGGATCTGGAAACTCGGCCTTTATTAGGCTTCAGGGAATCAGATCCCTCTCATGGTGGCAGCAAAGAAGCAGAGAAAAACAATGAAAAGTTCTTACCAATTAGCTTATTCAATAATCACAATAGGTTAAGGACACCTTCTGGTGAGGCTAAAACACTCAAGGATGATGTGCTGTAAGGCCCTAAATTATTACACTGGTCAACAACAAATTTGTTGTCTGCATTTTTTCAGTTGATTTAGGACGAATCTGATGCGCTGAATCCAAAAATCACATTGGTTTTGCTCAATCAGGTCAAGTTTTTGAGCTATGGCCACATTTTTTTTTAACATTTTTGTTCACATGTACGCTTGTGTGGAGCATTTTAGAAGAAGTTGGTGGGGGTAAAATGCCATGTCGAATAATTGTTTTGATTGGAAATGATTATTTTAATGACAAGAAGTATTCAGGTCCGATAGTTCTGGGTGATTATGTCGAAAAGGGATCAGTTTGAAGTCATAAAACCTCCGTTTTTTCTCAGAAGAGAAGGACTTGGTGTACTGTGCAGATATTGCGCAGCTTCTGCTCAAGCTTGGAGTGCCACAGTACGAACCCAAAGATTGGAGACTGTTCATTGACAGCAGCAAGTGATCACTGAAATGTGTTCTGCTACGCAACGGCAACCAGTTTGCCTCTATACCCCTGGCTCACTTGACTACACTGAAGGAGAACTATGAAGCGGTGAAGTATGTGCTGAAGAAAATTGGTTATGATCAGCATAAGTGGTTTATTTGTGTTGACCTGAAGATGGCGAACTTTTTTTGGGGACAACAGTCTGGCTTCACCAAGTACCCATGTTTTCTGTGCATGTGGGATAGTAGGGACCGTGCTCAGCATTACACGAAGAAGGACTGGCCTGTGCGGGAGGAATTGGTGCCTTGTAAAAAAAGGAACATCATCAATGACCCTCTGGTGGACAGAGACAGAATACTCTTCCCACCGCTGCACATCAAGCTCGGCTTAATCAAGCAGTTCACCAAGCCTCTGGACCAAGGATGGTGACTGCTTCACTTACTTGTGCCAGGCTTTTCCAGGATTGACCATGGAGAAGTTAAAAGTTGGCATCTTTGAGGGTCCTCAGATCCGTCAGCTCATCAGAGATCCAGAGTTCGGAAACTCAATGAACGAAGTGGAACTGGAAGCGTGGAAGGCATTTGTTCTGGTAGTGAAGAACTTTCTTGGCAACAATAAGGCCAGAAACTACGCAGAACTTGTCAACAACATGCTGACTGCTTTCAGAAAACTGGGCTGCAACATGAGTGTCAAGATGCACTACCTATTTTCACATATGGACCGGTTTCCTGAGAACTTGGGTTCAATGAGTGACGAGCAGGGGGAGAGATTCCATCAGGACATGAAAGATATGGAGACCAGGTATCAGGGTCGCTGGGACGCAGTCATGATGGCTGACTACTGTTGCACTCTGAAGAGAGACCTCCCTGCTGCTGAGCATTCCAGGAGTTCCAAGAAACGGAAGTTCAAGCCCTGAGGTTTGAAAAATGGTGAAGCAACATGCAATTTACGTGTACTTACCTTTATCAATGCCCACCATTCAGTTTACAATAATCAATGTTTCTATCAGGTAATCAATATATGTTGTTGGAAAAACATTTTTTTCTCTTAAAAACATATTTAGGATGATATGTGTTGACAAAAATCAGCTGATAATGCCACAAAAATGTAATCGATTTTGTCACAAGATCTGTTTTTTTTTTCCCAAATCAACATAGCACAAAAACCTGACCTGATGGAGAGAAACGGATGCCATTTCCTGATTCAGCAGTGCAAAAATACCCTAAATCAGTTGTAGCAATCTAGACAACATTCAAAAAGTAAAAAATTGTTGCCCAGTGAATAGTAATCTACTCAAAGATAATTACATAAAAACCTGGAAAGGAATCAAAAGAGATTTAGAAATCTGGAATAAGTGATCACTTGTTGGCAGAATATTGGTGGTTAAAATGAACGTGTTGCCTAAAATGATGTATCCATTCCAAATGATACCGATAATTGGATGAATGGGAAGTCTTAGATTATGGCAAAAAGAGATATCCAAATTCATATGGCAGTATAAAAAAGCAAGAATTAAACACAAACATCTAATAGATAAAAAACATAGAGGTGGACTGGCTCTACCTGACTTAAATTTATATTACTATGCTGTCTGTCTAAATTGGCTAAAAGAGTGGATTGTATTAAAAGATGGTAATTTGTTAGATCTAGAAGGGTTTAATAACCGTTATGGTGGGCATGCGTATTTAGCTTATGAAAAAGGGAAAGTATACAGGGGATTTATGAATCACGTCATAAGGAAATCATTATATAAACCATGGACAAAATATAAGGATCCTAGAACCGAAAACACCATGGTGGGCATCACCTGTAGGAGCAATTGCAATAAAATATATATATATGGAATTAGAATGGGCCACATATAAATATCTGATTAGGGGGAAAGACAATAAATTGGTAATTAAAGATTATGAGGAAATAAAACAACACCTTATGGGTTGGATCCAATACCATTAATTGCATGAAGTGTTCAGGACAGATAAGAAAAAAAGGTTTCTCAAACGAATCCTCATTATTAGAAAAAGTGTTATTACAAAACCAAACCAAAGTAATATCAGGTCAAGAAGATAATGATCAAGTGGGCTTTAGATATTAGGAAAACCATTAACTTAACAGCATGGGAAGAACTATGTAGAAAGTACTGGAAATTAACTGCCTGTTAAGTATTGAGGGAAAACCTAATCAAGATGTTTTATAGATGGTACTTAACACCTACCAAAATAGCTAAAATGTATAAGACAAAAACATATCTGAGCTGGAGGTGTGGTAAAACAGAGGGGACACTTATACATGTTTGGTGGACCTGTGAAAAAATCAAAAACTTCTGGAACACAGTGTATGATGAGCTTAAAAAAATGTTTAAATATAACTTTATGAAAAAATACAGAAGCTTTTCTACTAGGGATAATGGACACAGGTATAGCAAGAGAAGATCAGAAAATAGTCCTCTATGCCACAGGAGCGGCAAAGATCCTAATTGCTAAAAA